CTTGTCAGATGACGAGTAGGTAGAAGCGACGAAGAAGACCTCGACAACGGAGACGAACAAATGAAAAGAGGGACATGATGATATTGATCAAAAGAGGAACCTCTGATCTGAAGTTAAATTCAAGATGCGACCGTCATCTGGGGACAACCCTGAAGCACAATGATACAAGTGCGGCGAGAGCTCGAGCGTTTTCTCCTCCATGATCCAAAGCATGGGTGAATGGAGGATGGATAGATAATGAATAAACGAACCAACCAAGCAACCAAGCGGCCAGCTGACGAATGACTGAATGAGTGAATCGAATAATGAATAAGGCCCGTTACAATCGTGTTGAGAAAAGCTTCTGCGATCCGGGCCGAGACGGCGAGTCAGCTACATATAAAAACGTTGCGACAACGTCTCCAGCATCGCTTCTGTTGTCAATGCTATTAGCATAAGAATCTTTTTAGAGAATTGAAGTGAATCAAAGCGGGCGAGCGAGTGGCGACCACGAAGCAGCTCTCCAAACGAGAACGGTTGTTGGTATTTTCCTCTTCAACCGTGTTCTCCCCCTTTTTCGGCGCTTCCTTCTTCGTGTTTTTCGGCATCAATTGTGCTCAAGTTTGCTGAAGTGCGATGACGCCGATGGAGTTTCAAAAAAAAAGAGGAGAACCTCAGCGCGATCGATCGATCGATCAGCTGATTTTGACAGTTGTTTCAGACAGCGACACAAAGACAAGCAGTCATCCGTTCGCTTGCTGGCCGGTCGGTAGCGGGCAGGCACGGAGTCGGTGGCACTGCACTTATTGCGAATTCGCATTTCATTCGGAATGTCTTTTTCATTCCGCGTGTCGTCGTCACCATGAACATTATTCTGTTCGTCATCATCAACGTTGTTGAGCTTGTCATCGTCGTTGTCGTCGTCGTCGCTTCCATCATCATCATCATCATCATCATCACGATCATCATTGTTATTGACATTTTGTCAAGTGCAAATAGCGCGGATTCGCGAAGAACCGCGGGCAAGTTTGTCGAGGGAAACTTCGAGTGAACGACTTGCGATCATGATGATGATGGCCACGATGAAGATGGTAGAAGTAGTAGTAGTATCGGCGGCGGCGGCGGTGGTTGATCACAACGCAGAACAGAGCAACGGAAGAAAGAGCATTCGTTCGCTTGCCGTTCGTTTCACGGCGGCGCCACGGCAAGAGCAGGCTTTCATCAGTGATGACTTGACCCGTTTTCCTTTGTTACCAGTCAGTACCGGAGCAAGCATGCGAGCGAGCGAGCAAAGAAGCGAGCAACCAGTCAGACCATCTGACAGACAGATAGATAGAAGAATGACCGACCGACAGTCAAGTCATAACGAGTATCCGTCATTGGGAAATTCTCAGTAAACGGCCGAAGACGCTCGCCAAGATCCCGCGGCGACTCTAAAGCGACCCGCGTGCATGATACGCGCTCGGAGCGGTCGCTCGCAACAACAGAGGCGCGAATTTCCTCCTGAACTTCGGTCCTGTCGACCCTTCGACCCGGGCTTGGGACTCGGGTTCCCCATTCTCGAGACGGTCGGAGTCGGGAAAATGCCCTCTCGGGAGACGTGCGCGATATCTCGATCGGTTCATCGATCCGAATCAGTGTACCAAGACATGAGAATTCCGTGAGAAAGTAGGTGATCCATTTTTCAGCATCGCTCGCTATCGGAACCTCCACGAGATCTCGAGCGGAAAATCAGCCGTAGATATGCCGACATGGAATGATTGTCTCGATCGAGCGTACCGAGAGAACGTCGATCTCTGAGGAACATCGTTCTCCGCATAGAATCGAACCGATAAGAAATAATCTCGGTTCTCCGGCATTATCCGTAGGATATGAAAGAATGCATGATTTCGAGCCACGTTGATAATGCCCTGATCGAGCGACTCGTCGCTAGTGCGCAATCATTAGGAAGTGCGGATGCGTAGCGAATGAAGAAATGATGTCTGCTGGTAGGCACGCGCGCGATCTGCTCACCGACGAACACGTCGAGCACGCTGCTCGCTTGCCGAAAACTCAAACACACATACGCGCACGCATCGACTCCTGGCTCTCACGCACTCTTGTTTGTCCACTGAGCGAGCGAGCAAGCAAGCGAGGAGCTTGTAAACAGAGCTCATCAGTGGTGGATCTACTGCGATCTAAGGCACTGGTCTTGCTGTCAGCTCCGCGGAACTTTCGAAGGAGTTCCCTTGGTGTTGTCGTGGGAGTTGCTTCTCTGTTTCTACTGATTCTGTTTTCGTTATCGATAATTGTCGTACATTGTCGGTGTTGTCGTCGCGGTCGCGGCTGAGGCAGCCGTTTCGACGAAAGCTACGACGACGACGACGACGATTTGTATCAGTGTATTTGTGAATTGCGCAGCTCTGCCGGTCGTGACAGGGGGCGTTGAGCTGTCATCTGGAAGAACACATGTGATTAACGTGGTAGCACGAACTCACGCACGCGCCACGGAACAATAAACGACGCACTCACTACTTCACGCCCTCTGCCGCACTATCAGTATTCACGAATGACACCCAAGAAATGGTCGAGACACATTTTTTCTTCTTCTTTCACAAGTCTGTCTCTCTGTCGAGAGAGTCGGTCGCAGTCGGTCTCCAGCACTGGTTCTCGACGAGCCCTCGCATCGATGGCCAATTTTCTGGCGATTGCGACATCAGCTGATTGATTCCAGCTGATTTACTCACTAGTCGAGTGTTTGACAGTTAGGCGGGCGAACGGAGGACCGGCAACGTGAGAGGAGCCGCTGTGACCGTCCCGAGGAGAAGCAATCCGAACGACGTGGGGAATCGGTTCGCTCATCGAGCCCACCGATCGATTGTCAACCAGACACGGGCCGATAGAGAGAGCTGTCCCGACGAACCGGCATTGACGGACGGACTGCCCGCATTACACGCACTCACAACACCAGTACTACAACAACACTAACACTTGCAGGAGCAGTGGCAGCACCGGCAGGAGCAAGATTCACTCGCCACGGCACTGAGCGCTGTGATCGCCATTCGATGGTAAGCTTGCCTCCCGGTCGAGCGGCCTGCCTTGCTTGCTTGCCCGCCATCGGTGGCTCGTTCGGCTGCGAGCCGGATGGCTCGTGCCGTTGTGGCTGCTGCCTTCTCTACGTCGCCGCTGCTACTGTTGTCGTCGTCGTTGTCCGTAAGTTGAGGGGAGGAGGGGACATGATGTTGGCGAGTCAACCGCCAGCTAGGCAAGAACGCTGCTTGCGCAGCCACTGCCGGCATCGCTACCGCGTATACCATCTCCACTCGAAGTCCAACCCTCGATGGAGTTCCCGCCCGCCTCCCCACGACCCTTTGCCGACGGCAGAAACGCAACATTCGAGGGACTCGAATTATGTACAACATGCACCATGAATCATCTTCAGCGACAGCGGCAAGCTTGTCGAGATCACTATCAGCGATCTCGACTATGCAAGCGTATTCTGCAACTGCGGTGCCATCATGCATGCTCGCATCCGTGAATCCATGCATACATACATCCATCCATGCATGCATGCATATGTACGCCGCCGTCGGCTTTTCGCTCGAGGGTACACACCCACGACTCCGTGCACGCCAGTCGTCCTCATTCGGACGTGGCTTCAGCGAGCAGACTCAGAACTCATTTGAGAATATCATACATAGCGGGGAATACGATTATCCGTGACGTTAACAAGCGACATTCCGAATGGAGGACGCGGAGAGAGAACGCGTTCCGATCTCCGAGATTTTCATCTGGACCGAAATTTTCCGGAGTCCAGCTGATTCCCCTAGCTCGAACGGGACGGAGGGCGTGACACGGAAAGCCCGTCAACGGAACAGGATGTGGGAAGCTCCTGGGTATCGATGAGACGATGAATTGAAAATCCTCGAAATCGCATGATCCATGAGAGACATTGCTTCAGCCTCTAGTATTCCGCAAGCTGATCATGATCACATCAGGATCGATAATCACCCCGTGCTATCTGGGAAATACAATATGTGCATACGTCCGACGCTGGTCGTTATACATACATACATAGGTATGATAGTTCCTCGCAAAGCCGGGGCTGAAGGCGAATATCTCTCATAGGATTAGGTCCGCGCTCGAGGCGAGGAACTTGGCTCGAGAGGTAATCGTTGTTTCTTCGAGCATGTTGAGATCTCACTCGACACTGATTCGATAGGGAATCTGCTGAGTTAATCTATTCCGAGCCGAATGTTCCGATGATTCGAAGGGTATCTCATGCTTTTCATATCTTACCGTCGGCACGTCCGCGTCCTCAACGGAAAGTTTCTGCTTATCAATTGGGTGAACCCCCTTTCCGTCGAGAATCCCCCTTCAGCCATTGCGCCCGCGGCTGTCCCTTATCAGGATGATTGGTATCGGGCTAAATGAGCATTTCCCCGTATCCGCTCGGAATAGAGCAGAATATTCAGATTTGAGACCTCAAATTCCCGAACAGGGACGCGAGTTTTGATCTTTCCGTCCATCACGGGAGGGTATCGCCTCAGCACCACCGAATCGGATATCGGGATGAAGAAGATGCCGACAGTCTTATTAGATAATTCGGAACTAACACCCTCGGAGAACAGATACAACTCCAAGAGAGCCGGGAGGAGGACTCTGTTTTCGCCGTGACGCGTATTTGGTTTCGGAGAGCCCCTCTTCCGGCGTAGTCGTTGGTTACACAAAGGGTATGAGGTGAGGTATGTAAGCGTATGATGTGCTAGAATATGCGTCGAAATCTCCAAAAACTCATCTGCTGCATCGATGACTGAGACTATCCGTTTCTCCAACTTATGAGGTTCGACGTGCGGTGAGGTATGATTCCAGACTGCTCGACTTCCCCGGCGCAGGGCGGGGCTTGGTCATTGAGGACTATCGTCTCATGTCCCCTCTTCGTTAAACAAAATCTTTGGGAGCCTCGACGTTCTCAACAGATTCTAAGAAAAATCCTCTCCGTTCTCAACAGATTCTAAGAAAAATCCTCTTTGTTCTCCCAGGTCACAATAAACAATGATTTCGACTCGGACAACCCGCAACAGCCCTTCGGCGTATTCAATCAAGGGGAAACATTGTGGCGACTGGAAAGTGAAAATTTTGAAGATCGGGTTCGATGGTTTGCCGAGGATTGCGACCACTTGTCAGCTTTCAACATCATGATGGACACGTCGAATGGTTTCAGCGGTAAGCTGATCAACTGACCTGGAAACGGGAATCGAGCGAATAACAACTGAGCAAATATGTATCCGACTTCTCCGCACCTCTCCGCGCTGGATATTCGAGGCTCGAGGCGACTTGGGAACAATTCTCTTTCCCAGGTTTTGCGAGCAGCTGCCTGGATTACCTGGATGACCAGTTTCGTGCTAAATCTCGAGTCGTTTGGAGCCTCTCCGACGTTCCAGCGAACGACTCGGCGGCTAATTACCGCGCTCTGAACACCGTTTTGGCCTACCAGAAAATGCAGGAGCTTGCCGACGTCGTCCTTCCGTTATCTGTGAGCGCGGACGGACTTCGACGGCACCTCCGCTCGAGCTCTCTCGTGGCTTTGGATCCGAGCCCATTCACCGGGGGTGCGGCATTGGCGATGCACGTGGATTCGATTCTTTCCTCACTGAAATTGAAGAGCGAAGGCGGCTGCGATTTTGTGAATTTTCTGAGACTCATGACGATACCGGACCGAAAGTTCGTCGTTTCGTCGATGGCCGCATCTCCATTATCTAAAGATGGCCGATTAGAAGATCTCTCTCCGAAATGCGATTCTTCTAAAATGGCCACCTCCGCATACGCCGTTTCGCGGGGTACAGAGACGTCACACGCGATCATTGTTCGCATTTCAAATACTTCAGCGGCGTCAACATTCCACACAATGGTCAGGCATCCGACGAAATTCTGTCAAGATTATTTCCCCGAAATCAGCTCGCAGTCGATGCGAAGTGTGAAAGGTTCCCAGCTCGTAGATGGTTTGTTCGTGGTCAAGAACAGCGCTGACGTCGTAGCACACTTCGATGATCTTCGGAGACGTCGAGTCAACTTGGGGAAAATGCACCGAATTTCGCTCCCGGAAGGAGACGTCACCGAAGCGATACAGAACGTTGCGTCGCTTAGAGAAAATTACCTCAAGTAGAAACAGCGGACCTCGGAGCGTTTCGTCCACATGGTCTCGATATGAATAAAGCGGAGCCTATCGCTGTTTCTGGTGATGCGAGTGCGTCTTCAATTGAGATGAATCCCAACATCATGAGTTGTCCTGTCGACGGGCAAGCTCCAGCGGCAGCGTCGTGTGAAGACTCTCGAGTCCGCGATCCTTGAGGAGGGTCGTGTTGCAAGTCGAGGCATTGGCGACCTTTAAATTCGTTCCGCTGCTTTTGATCCATGGGATCGGACCATACGAATCAACACCGAAATTACAGACACTCTTAGGCCTCATGGCAGTATTCTTCACGAAACTCTGGATGTTCATCAAATCGAACTATGTATTGTGAAGTACTATTCGGGAGCTATTCTTCCATCGATCGCTCCGTGTAATCACGAATCAGGCTCATTTCGATTCGTCGGCAGGAGGCATCGGAGGGCGAGATGGCTGATTGACTGACTGGTTGATTGATCGCAAGTCAACATTCGGAATTCAGGATAGATTTAGCGAACCTCAAGAAGGGCTCGATCATCCAACTCCTGATGCTGTCGTAGAAACACACGGCTTGTCACTGCGTCTGGGTTTTCCTATGAACGCGCGAAAAACGTGACCTTTGAGAGACTGAGATCGAGTAGAACGAACGAGTTTCCCTTTGGGCAACTCCGACCGCGATCCACGCTCGCCCCCGTAACCAGGAAGCAGCTGGTAGAGCGATGCCTTACGGTGATGTCCCAGACGTTCTAGCTTTGACTGTCTCCAGATTCAGAGCTCTTCCGCCTGTACAAGTACCATAGGATCGGAATGAATATGTGCATGGCCTGTGTGGATCTCGCACGCTGTACCGGGATTCCGCTGACGATTAGTCGGCCGGGAGGTGTTGAAATGATATGTGCGGGTAGGTACAAAAACTCCTCTCGTCAATGTTATCGTGCTTCCGCTTCTCAGGAAGCAGATTTCTACCCATGGGAATGCGCCACTTCTCCGTGAATCGAGGTGAACTCCGGGTACGGGTATCTCAGAGGGGTTTGCTTATGAATCGAGGGAATTCTCCTCTCCCCTCCTCTTTTGCTTTCGTGTGATGTCCGAGCAGGTATTCTGAGATAGTTCCGAGTATGAATTATACTCAAATATCTAGTAGATTTGAATTTATCCCCGAATATTGGGTGAATATGAACATACCCATATCTAACTTCAATTCTCGATTTTAAAGAGCGGTCTTTCAGGAGCTGCGGGTACATCACACAGTTTCAACACAAGGTGGCCGCATCCGCTTGAACTCTCTATAATCTTAGCAGTACATGATTGTATCAGTATATCTACATCAGAAATGTCTTATTGAACTCCTTGCTGAACTCCTTGATCGAGTGCAGACGACGGATCTCCTGAGGTAGGCCACTCCAGAGCGTCGGCATGCGATAAGCCACAGCATGGTGGTGGAAGACACGCCGGGCGAGTGGTACCGCAAAGGACGAGGGTCGACGGAAAAACGCTTCCCGAACAGTCTCAGCGGGAAGGCTACGTCACCTGGGATGACTCACCTTGGCGTCTTGAATGCCAGAAGATCCGCCACCAAAGTCCGGTGAATCTCCTGCGCATTCAGGAGTCCATATTACCTATATAGGTGGCCCATCGATTCACAGCGCCGTTTGTGGAAAACAGCTCGAATAGGATTATTATGATTGACCTGTACACGACGCAGGACCATCTCATAAGCTCCGCCCCCACCGAAATTCCGTGGAACAAGAACGGAACGAAGATAGCCCTGTAGGCACCGATGAGACCACCGATCGGGATGCCCAGCTGTCTGAATCGACGGATTGCAGCAACGATCGAGTAACAACTAACAACTGGGAATGGTGTAGGTGGGAGCGCCAACTAAGATCCGCCGGAAGAGTCAAGCCCAAGCATCTAGCAGAGCTGGAGATCTCGAAGGCAGTATCTCTCAACCTGACAGCAGGAACCTCGATCTCTCTGCTGGTGGAGCGAAAAAGCACGAGCTTGGTCTTGCCGGCATTGACCCCCAGACCAAGAGTACGAAAGGTCTCAACAACCCTCTCGACATTGTGTCGCCCTCCAGATTGGCCACGCTGACCGGAAATATAAATGTAGTGTCATATGCATATGCCACCAGCCCCGAAGATGTGTCTTCGAATATTCTAGTGAGCCAGAGTTTCGATCGATGACGATGATGGAGGGACCTAGGACAAAGCGCTGCGGCATGCCCAGGTCGACCTAGCTTATCGAGGACTCAATAACGCCTCACTTTCATAGACTGAGTCCGCGATGCCAGATATGACTCGAACCATCGAATGACCCCGTCGAAAAAGCCCGGACCCGAGAGCATTCGGGGAGAAATTGAGTGCTGAAGACAATTGAAAACGGCCGCCACATGGAGAAAAACTTCGAGAACGAAGCTCTTACCATCGTTCGTGCACCGTGCCTATGATGTCGTGCCAAATATGCGCCAGAGCGAGCTCCGTTGATCTACGGTTCCTAAAACCAAATACCCGCATGCATATTCTTCGCCTTCAGTGAATGCATCCTCATTCGCATCTCGAACTCAATTCAAACATCCAGTGATTATAAGCCCTCCCTCGTTCAAGAGCCCATTGGTACTGAGGACTCGAGTCTCGATATGATGATAAGAGCTCTACGAGCTCAGGAGACGCTCCTCCTTAGCTACATTTCTAGCCGGAGGCAGGCGCATCGACCTCATCCATCTTCAGGTTATCTCCTATTTCCATCCCCAGCTCGCTGCGCAGAAGACTCGACCATTTCCCCGGTTTTTCAGCAAATTCAGCGAGAGATTTCTCCTCGGAGGGTACTTGGGGATGCCCCGGTCAGCACCGCTCCGCATCCTTTGTCGTAGCTTTGACCATCAATGGCGAACTTCTTTGTTCACTCAGGTACGCAGTTCACGGAGAAAGATGATGGATTCCAGTAGGCTCCCCGGCCCTCGAGTGGCGCGAGGAGACCTGCTCCGATTGACTGCCGCATCGAGCTTTCATGAAATGCAGTCCCCGTTGATGCCCGGGGGGGAGATTCGCTTCGCTCGATTCGTCTTTCGCTAGGCTGCAAGAGCTCAGAGGTCGGCGAATTTCTGCAGTCCGGACCTCAACCCTACGCTTGCCGGTCGTCGACTTTCAGTGCTGCCTGGTACCCTTGAACCTCGACTGGCGTCAGGCCTAACTAGCGGACGACTCCACTGACGATTGTTCCGCTGTGGAGGAAATTGATCCGGATTACGAACGTGGATTGGAATCACGAACGGTTTCGAGGTGTATCGGAGGTCACAGCTCTCACAGAGGATCGATGAGCTTCATCTCTCTTGCATGAAAGCCCGTTCATTCGAGTCGTCGAAGACCCTCTCCTCGGGAGCGGTGTTCTCATCAGCATGGCTCCGCGAGAATAATTTTGTTCCGGCCCGCGAATATTCCGACTCACGAATGGTTCTCCAGAACGGATCACGTTCGTAAGTCGCAGTTCGACTGTATTGACAAAAGAGCGGCGCTGGCGCAAGGATGCGACCGGAAGGCAGCACTAAGGAGATTTCGTCGAGTGCGTGGCATTCAATTTCACTGGCAGACCCAGATATCGAGAGAATCGGGGAGAGACGAGAGATATGATGCCCAGAGTATTTCTGCCGTAGCCTTAGAGGAGTGCGAAGCTTCCCTGTAGTCCTGGTGCTTTACGACGCGACGGTCCGTTAGACCCGCTTGCGGAAGGCGTCTCTCGAGGAATGAATTACCAAAATTTTCGAGGGTAAGTTAAGAGCCGAGGACGCGGGAGAGACCCATCCAGGACGCTGTAAGAAAGGGCATGATCGCTCCCGCGCTTCGAAGAACAAACCGATCGAGAGCCGTACTCCGTGATAGCGGAGCCTGAATAGCGTGAACTGTCCGGTTTCAGTCGCTCTCAGCGATGCTCGGAGAGTCTTCCGGTCTTCAAAAGTTGCTCCCCGTGTAAGGAGATAATGGAAATCTCATAAAATCCATTCTTGTGGGAGGGAAGTCCAGAGGAAAGATCAGAGACAGGTCAGTTCATCTTATTGTTAGATATTCCCAGAAAGACTCCAGTCAAGATCCGTATCTACCCGAGTAGTAGTGGAGCGGTACCAGCTCAGAGGTTGTTTGAAGCGATTCGACATGAATGAGAGATCCCTTGAATCGTTCAAAAGGAAGCGACCTTCTCTCACAACAGAATGCTGTGGGTCATGGTCCGATTATGACCGGTGTTCCATCAGGCTTTTCGTGCGAGAATCGTTAAGGGAAGAATCCTAACGAAGTCCCAATCCTACATCCTTGAAATTCGGGCTCGGGGGAATATTTCTCGTGCCCATCCGGCGCACAGCTTTGCAGTGCCTAACTCCTTGTTCTGTTGATGTCCCTAAGCCTGGCTTGAACTCCGATTTTTCCGGGATTAGGTTTTCTGAATCGATGCTGCTCGAAGTTGAGCTGAGCACCGAGTCGAACTCGAGTCAGGCATTGCCGTTCTAAACTTCGGACTCGCGCGCGTTTCGGTCTCACTCACGTCATCCTCGTTGAATCCAGTCTCATGGTCCTTTACCTAAGATATCAGGCGCTTATCAGCTTCGCTGACCTTGCTCACCTAGCATGGTCGCACCAAGAGCTATTAGTGGCTCGCGGATGGGCCCATTCACTGACGGAAATATTCAGTTTGCGCTGCAAGCACGAATGATATGAGAAATGACCGCCGAAGACGACACATGGGCAGATTGGCTGAACCATCGATACGCCAAATCGGATAGAGGGGATAGCATCTCCATGTCTTCTTCCGCTATCCAATGTATTCCATGCGATATGGTGCATCGATTGTTGATTGTGGCTGACTTCGAAGAAAGATATTCCCGGACGATCTCTCATACAAGATGGTCGGCTCCCCGACCAGAAGCTTGGCGGGATCTAGCCACGGCCGCCTGCGCGTCAAATATTGTCACAGCGATACTCGGGAGGAACTCAAGCCATCATGATGTGCGAAGTCGAGAACCATGAAACCGATCCCCTCCAAGCAGAGCGGTTCGAGTTCGCGATCTCCTTGGAGCTGAGCCCTCATAGCTCAGCCTTTTCGAAAAGGCTTGATCTTGAATGGAGTAATGGCCGGTCATTCGATAACGGGAGAGAACGTTCAAGTCCTGTTCGAGCTGAATCGGTTGACGGTCAGTAGACGTTCTAGCCTGCGATTCCTTTGAAATCGTCGGCGATTTGAAAAAGCTGAGACGACAGTGCCAGAGCTCTTGGAATCCGAAGTGCGGAGCAAGAATCCCACAAAGAGCCTGGACGTGTCCGTGGGAGCCCGCGTCCGAGGAGTGGGATGCTCTAATGCTGCCCCGCGTCTCGAACGAGGGCAGGACTGCGACCAAAGTCCATCACGACGCTGACTCTTAGGTTGCTGTTGTGAGCGATCTCGTAGAAGCGAGTATATTCAATCCGCATGCTGGACGGGAACATCATCAGATCGCTCGAAATATCTGCGTTTTCTCAGCCCGGCTTTTGCTTTAAATGAGAGTGTTGAGTCACATTCTATTCGGAAACAAAGAGCGTTACATGCCTGGGAAAAGGGTCCAATCGCGAATCGAAATCCGAATAGCGTTATTCCCTGAGTCCTTCTCCTTTCCGTTTCAATTTGATGATCACTTGAATTTGATGGCACCAGAGTGTCACTCTGGGTAGAGATTTCGGTGATGTCTAGCCGGAGAAACTGCTACTCCGTCGAGAGTCTATTGCCCGAAGGCAAGCTGGGTCCGATGAGCTCAAGTGTCCGGAATGCTGGAGCGGAGCAAGAACTCCGACAAGGCGCTCGCGCGACTGGAACTCTCTCGGGCGAGCCAGCCGGAAAGGCCAGCGCAGGAGCCGGTTCTCGTTCTCCAAGGAACGGAGTCGAATTGCGCAGCGGAACTCCTCGGATGGAAATCCGCGTTTTGATTCGCGCGTATCTTATGCGCCAATCTCTCGACCATCTCATTGATACAAACCAGTCCTTCTTGAAGGGACCCGGTCCTTGCTGTCACGAATCTGCAGAGAGATCCAGTGCAATGAACATAAACCCTGACGATGGTCAATGATATCAATTCGAATCGTTTCGGCTTCGGATCCTTTCGTGAGGTCAGGTCTCTCTAGAAAGTCTGGATTTACGGAAGCCCGACGAGTATGCCTATCTCACAGTATCCTCGCCGTAATGAATGTCTCGACAGGTGACACCACAGCAGTTCCTCTTCGAATAATTTCCCAATCTTATCATGCGGATCGGAATGGACACACTTGAGGCTCAAGAATCTGTCGATTTCCGGCCGTCCAAACACCTATGCGTACAGGATGAAGCCTAGCCCGATCTTCCAGAAGAGTAGCGCGCGCTTCCGAACAGCTGTGCATGACCAGCCGAGTCGATGACACTTCATTGGCAGAGAGTCTCGCCAGCGCGAAGGGCGTTAGCCTTCTCGTTCTGATAGCCTCTGTGTTCGAGGTTGTACGAGAACCCTTGCTGATGTGATTGAGTGCACAATACTCGGGAGCTCATCGGTGGTCGGCTTCCGCTGGGATCGTCGTCGGACGGTCTCGAGAAACCGTGGTGAGTCGAGAAGCGAGACAATCGACCGTTGAGTTGGGCAAGATGCCGGGGTACTCGCCACATTCAACTGTATCGGCATTCATCCCATCTGATCAGTGATGCCTTCAGGATGGCCAACCACCACGGCACTAGTCATGTTGCCCGGTGGAAACTTCGCGAAAAAGCGGCATCCTCTATCATATAGTCAGTCTCCCTCAGTGAAGCGGGGACGGTCCTCCCTGTCTTGTCCAGAAAGAATCCTTTGATGGGATGGTTGTCTTCCGGTGCTCCCGGCGTAGCGATCTGCCGGGGGGAGCTCAATGAGAAACCGGGAGTTTGATTGCTGTGCACCGGCTCGGCAACTGGAACGGATGGGACCAAAAGTGCAATCGATCCTTGAGCAGAACCAGATAAGGATCCGGCTCGGATATTTCCCAAGATGACAAAGGTCTTGTGGTATTGAACGACGGAGCAGACTTCCGGCCCTCTCTCTTAGTCGAGGCTGGGAGCTAAGGTGGCTTCCGAGCAGTCATTGGTTCTGAGGGCATCCGATCTCTGGGAGCGTAGATTTTCAAAAACGGCGAAAGCTCCGATTCCAGCCCATCTTCGATGTTGCCCTCGATCTCTCGATAGGCGTCCGACAGATCAAGTTGAGAAAGAGGATATTCGGGTAGTTGTTTCTCAAGCATAAATTTGTTCCCCAGTTCCATCGGTCGAAGATGCTTAGGGTACCATCTCGAGTCTTAGGCCGAGCTAGAGCTTGAATCTCTTCAGCGAGGATCGAGAACGCACAAGATCGAGAGCCTCTCATCGCCGAATCATTCCTGCGCTGACCTCTCAGCCGTCGGACACGGAGGAGTTGCGAGAACTCCGAACATCTGTCGGCCTTCTCTCTTCGTCGACGGAACTTTCCTCGATCCGGTGTGTTGATGATTCAGTATCTTTCTAAACCCTTAGGGGGGAACGTGTTCCCTGACTTGCGATTCGTTCTACCACAGAGTCGGAATGAAAGCTACAGGACCCGATTCTTGTGAATCCTGGAAGAATGCTGTTTTAGCGGGCTTCATACAGATACCAGTATTGATTAGCTTGAAGACCACCGGTGTGGTATTCGTCGGCTTCCTGAACAAATGGCAAATTCTTCGGAAAGAAGCTTCATGGCCACTAACATTGTTCATTGCCTCTTCACAAATATTCGGTGAGTGTCAGCTATTTTTGCGTCGAGCTCTTGATGCAGTCGATGAAGTCGAATCTACTTTCCACTCTCGATCATGTTCGTGAGTCGTGTAACCAAGAGGAACAACATACTGTCATTGCAGCACCTATATTCCCGCTGCTTCAGAAGCGCTTCTCAGCTTCCTCACTCCTGATATTTTCCGGAGCTCTCATCACGATTTCGCAATGCCTGACTTACTTCGCTGGCAGTGTCTTCCATTTCTCGATTTCCTTTGTGTTCCAAGGATTTGCGATCTCGGGAGTCTACATGTACTCAACATTGATTTTCATGCAGCACTTCAGAACCAAAAGGTGGCGCAGCGATTCAGAGAATAATTCTTGAGGGAAACAGACGCTTCCTTCGGCATGCTTCCTAATTTTCAGAAGAGTAGGAACGACGCCCTTAAAAAACGGCAAGTCTCCCTTGCAGAACGGCGGCCACGGGGCTGGCCTCCACGATCTCATCGGGAACGACGACCTTCGCTCCAAACATTTTACAAAAACTCATCAATGAATTGGGTATCCGAATGACAATGCCGCTACTAAGTGTCGCGAGTCTGACCAGCTTGATCCTGTCCCTCTTCCTCAAATCGCCTCAATGGTTCCTGGACGAGATGGAAGAGCGGGAGAAAGTCCGTTCCGCCACTCAGGGTGGGTCCCGACCACAGCAGGGGGGAGCTGCTTGATGGGATTCCCCTAAGTTCTATTGCCTAACTCGATCGTTTCCATGCACAGTCGAAGAGCAGGAGTTGGTTGATCCCCGTGACACCTCTGAGACGTCAACGATGGAGAATTCCTCTCATTACATGTTGAGCGGGAAATTCATCATGGATGTCTTCTGTATAATTGTTATATACAATGCCAACAATACGTTCTTGATGATCGTTTTCGACCACGCACGCGACCAAGGCAAGTTACACTATCCTCAAGGCAGGCCTCCTCGTCCACCGAGAAGCGGAAGGTCCCTATACGGACTGGCTATGAGTCGACGATAGGCAACCCATTTTCGATCTATCCCGAATCGCTGACAACGTTACTTTGCTCTTTCAGGCATAGAGGAGACTTCCGCCCTCCTCGTACTTCCTTTTTGTGCCGTTGGTGACCTGATGATGCGGATAATGTCGGGCATTTTGATAGATGGCAAACTGATCTCCTGGCAGGTCCTGTTCGCCGCTTCGTTCCTAGTGGAGGTGAATCCCGAATCCCGAGCCGATCTCTGAGGTGGGAAGCACTTCAAGCTCACAGCTTAGGGAAGAATTCTGTTCACAGGCAACCTCTCTAATTTTCTGGGTCACCAGCTCGACGTTACCGTCTCTTCTCGTCTTGTCCGTCCTGGTTGGAGGTTGCAACGGTGCCCTCGTGTCGCTCATCCCAGTTCTCTTGGTGAACGACTTCGGGATCTCACGTTTCACGGAGAGCTTGGGGGCTTCCCTCATGGCGTGTGGCATCGTGACGTGCTTCAGGCCTCTGCTCGACGGCTACTTCAGAGACGTACGCGGCTCTTATGACGGAATGTTTTTGGTTCTCCTCGCACTTTGTGTACCTTGCGGGATCTATTGGCTTTCTAGGTCCGTGTATCATATCAGGATGCTGCCTTCGGAAGCTCTGCAAAAGCGGGCGAACGTAGATGTAGAAAGTACTTGAGTCTTTTTGCGCTTCTCGGCGGGAAAAATCTACGGAGGGTCTGAGCGAAGGTTCACCTCCGACCGGAGCATAGGACGCGGATCAGCTCCAAGAGGAGGATCACGTTCAAAGAACCGAGTAGGCACGTCGTCGCGATAAAGAACCGTCGTACTCTGGAAAGGTTTATCGGTCTTGATAATCAGGATAGCATGGTATTCCGAGCACATGGGTACCGAGCCCAAAGCTCAGTCAGAGACTTCGTATCGCAGCTCGGGTTATTTGGTCGGTGGAATTCTTATCGGGAGGCGGGTAGAGCCGTTTCCAGGAACGGATGTTGCTCGGAAGCAGTCTGTGGAGACTCTAAGGGAACCTTTCTCATGTTTCTCATCGGAATAAATCGCATTGGATAGATTTTTAGACCTAATATCGAACGTACTGTACCCTCTGGAAGCTGACGAACTGTTGGTTCTTCCTCCTTGTGGAGCCGACTTCTCCACGACTGTGCTCTCGGGGATCTCTCTAATCAGACGCGGACTGATTTCCAAGGATTCCCCCCGAAGCTGCCGCTTCATTGGAGACATGGTGATGGTGCTCAGAGGACTAACTGATTTCGGGCTGTCTCGGATCGGCTCCCTCGAGTGACCGACCAACTTCGCTCCCCGCACCAGTAATTCGTCTTCCATCATGTATAGACGGAATACTTCCAATTGAGCTCGAATAACTAGCCAGGCATCGGTGTTCTAATTCTTCCGACAGCAGAGCTCGGCTCCATCAGCGGCGTGACATAAAGCGGCTTAATACTATGACTTATGATCTATCACGGATCACGGTCGGAACCATGAGATAAATTATCGGAATCCCTTCGGCGGCAGCGCTTCAGCGATATTAGCATGAATATCCATCAAGCCTGCCTCCTCAAAGTTATGGACAAGACTGTGCATCCCGTACCCAACCACTAGTGCGGCTCGAGACAAGATCCGCTCTCTGACTGACTCATTAGTTCTCGGATTACTCGATGTGAAATTCCAGCCGGTGCGCTGCAGTTCAAAAATGAAGTAAACGCGCATCCTCGACACGCAACTTGGCGTGTTCGATCTTGAATAGACCACACTAAGACGATGAGTCAGAGAAAGTCTCGAGAATAGCAGAAAATGGGCTTCTTCCTACTCAGAGAATTATCGCCGAGTGAAGATCGGGTTATGGGACCCGAAAATCGTCCTCGTGAGACTATGCAGAAAGAACTCGTCGATCCGAACTAAGGAGTGGAGTAGACCAGAGCGTTACAGTTTCGAACTACAGGGTGTGGCATCGTAAATGACCCGATTACGAATGCCCGCAAGAATTTTTCCAGACGAGATTACGGAGGTCTGTTTATGCCGAAATTCGAATATTCCCTTGCCATTTCATATGCATGGTGAGATTTTGGCGACCGGAAACAGAGGAAATTCGTCTGAGCCTATGGGACATGGGACACATAGGACTAAGGTCTTCCTATAGGTTTTGGAATTTTCGTTGTTTCCCGCAGGCTGTGATTCCCGCAACGGCGAGCTACCGGAACCGGACTAAGCCCATATGGAACGGCGAGGGAATATTTGAATTTTGGCGCAAACAGACCTTCGTGGTCTCGTCCGGTAAAATTCTTACAGGCATTCGTAGTCGGGTCATTTACGATGCCGCACACTGTATGTCTCTCAGACAGCTCATGAGATGAACCGCAATCTGATCTCAGGACTCACGAAACCGCATTCCATTTCCGCTGACCTCGCGACCAATATCGATAGGTCAGAACGCCCGATTTAGTCGGAACGAATTTCCTTCCACGATATCTCATATTCCCAGAGCCCGTCCCTCCTTGCTCCACGACACGGAGTGCTTGAGCATGAGAATTCTGTGATTCAATGATCAACAGGTGAGCCATGAGATGGGAGAAGCCTCTATAACACCACAGCAGCGTGGACCGGAGAGATCTACAGCTGGTCGATGTTTGTAAACACCAAGTGCGTGGGTAAGCGCGACGAGACTGCTACTGTGTGATGGGTCGCGCTTGAATGACAGGAGCCATCGCCGAGAAGTGAGCTCCGAGTGACTAGGAAGAGAGAGTGGCGATTCATTCCGGCGGTCGGACCAGCCGGAGCACCGGTTCCAGCCGGCGAAACGAGCTACCAAGGCTTTCTCTTCAATAACAACTCAAGGAACTTCTCTCCTCCGAGCACGTGCTTCGAGGAGTTGCACCGGCTCGGAACAGTTGGCCCCATGATTGCTGTCTAGATCAGATTCTGCCGTGAGATCGGAGGCATTGACGGCAGGACCGAGCCAGCCAACCGAGCAGCCAGCGGACGAAATCTCTCGAACGACCTCGCACATTGGACTGTTGTCGACTCAAGGTCCCTTGCGCGATCAAAACTCCTCCGAAGCCGTCTTCGGAGTCCTCAACGAACGTTGGAACGGATCGTTTATCGATGTTGATACCACCGAATGGATATCTGTCGCTGCTGCTAAGGTACCCTCTTCGTTGCATGCTTACGAAGTTTCGGCTGCTATAGCTGCTGTCTTCACGGTTGCTGTTAACGGATAAGGAGGAGAGGGAGTGTAGACTTCTCCCCGTCCGTCGGTCCGCCCGCCCGTCAGCCATCCAGCCATCGAGCTAGTGAGGAGGGAGCTGTGACCCGGCGGCCGGTGTTGACCGTGTTTCAGCTGGGCAAGGCAGTCGTGTAACAAACTTCTCGCTTCTTTTTGCTAACGTTCCTCTGAAGACAACTCACGTCTTGTGGTGACTCTCGCGAATTTCTCATCCATCGAGGACTGCGAGGAAGTCCGAATCGTTTGTGTAAGCCGAACTCGTGAATAAGAGGTGCGCGCAAAGGATATGTCTACCGACGTCGTGAAGAACTTCGTTGCCGGAGGTTAGTACGCGGTTTCGGAATTAAACCACAAATCTAAGTGTTGTCGTCTGCCAGTCTGGTGGTAGAGGTATATTCTCTTTGTCTGCGGGGAAACCGGAAAGCGTTACCACCAGCTCGTGGCGTTTAATGATAACGCACACTGGCAGATACCAGTTGTCGACGGCGGCGGAAGCGATGCCCGGTCTACAGCGGTATTAGGGATTTCGCTATTCTTTTTGGTGGTCGAGACACGACGGAAGTTTTCCGCGAAAAACGACGCTTACGCAAAGCCAGCCCGATTTATCCCCCACGGGGCTCGTTGAGGAGTCGATGTCCTACGATCGTTCACTTAGAAAAAACTTCGAAAACACGTAGGAAACTTGCGTTCATCGCTCCGCGTTGTCTCTTGAGCCGGGATCCTGTCGCAGACATGGGAAATCCTCGTGGATGCGTGCATCGTCATGCTCAGAGGGAGTCTCCGTCCGCTCTCTCTCTGAATCGTCGTCTCCCGGGGGCGGAAATAGCGACTTTCGGGAAGTCTGGATTCGACTATAGCCGTCCTCAGCCCCTTGGATTTCGATGTACACGGCTAGTCTATCTCCAGTGTGAAGACTTTCCCATCTCTCTCTCTCTGGTAGGATCAGGAAGCTCCAGAAAAAATGTAGAATCTGAGTCTCTTGGCATTCTCTTCTATATCGTCAGTTCCCGCTATCGGAGCGGATCGTGGAATGCGACCCTAGGATCCTTTTCAATTTTCTACAAAGGATTCTCGTTTCTCCCGACTGAAATTCTCAAAGTCAACCAGAGCGCTCAGGGCGGTGGTGATGTCGTCATCGTCAAGCGGATTTTCCACGCCCTTTTTAAAAGCTGCGATGGGTGCCCGAGTTCCTTTCGGAACCGGGCGTCAGAAGTTTTAAGAATTCCCAGGGAGAGAACACTCGGTTTTCGGACCTACGATTTCGAGGGACGAGATTCTGATCAAGTAATCTCGGGAGCCTCCCTCCTCAAATGGATTCGATAATCGTCGACCCGCGCTAGGTATCGGACGGATATTTCGTTTTCGTCGCGGCGCTTCCACAGAGACATATTCTGAGGATCGCGTGCGAATAATCTCCGAAGCTCCCCGAATTCCCGAAGCTTACGAACATCACTGATAGGTTTTCTCGGCTATCACGCTGGAGCAATCAGCTGATCCGAATAAACATGAGCTGATGTGAGTGTTTGTGGATTATGTCGTCAGCGGATCCACGACTCATTGATTCCGATATTGGGGGCAGGAGACGATGACTGTCTCGGAATGCTAAGTTGGCAATTTTTTTGGACACTGATGAGGCCGCTCTGACTTCCGAATCGATACATCCAACTACGAACCGATGCGGTAATTGCCGACAAAGGTGCTCCTTATTGTGCACCCATTCTTATTCTTGACACCGCGTCGCGACGCGCAGTGGGGAGGACGAACGCGCTCGATAGCGTGATCTTTCGCTGGCGGTACATTCACGCAATCGGTGGGTCGGCCTGCCGATCCGTCGATCGTTCACTTGCTTGCTTGGTGGGTCGGTCGGCCGACTGACTGACTCGCAGACCGACCGACAGACAGACGGCCAGACGATGGCTCTACGTGTACGGCCGAGCAGCTGGCCAGTCGGTGACAGATAAGGGAAACACTTCCTTCCGAATCGGAAAGAGAATTTTGCTCGGCGCTTGGCACACTTTCGCTTGTCTTTCTCTCCCCATACGGTGGAACGGGGCCGATTATGGATCGTTCAACGAAACTGCCCGCTCTGCTTTTTTTCGGGCTTTGGGAGATACGCGAGACAAAACTCCAAGTTACCTGACACTGCTCGTAAAAAGCTGGAAGACAACGCACCCCTCGCCATCTTTTCGATTGCGGCCTTCGAGGGAAGTTCTAGTTTCGATGGTGAAATCCCGATGGTCTCCGTGGCCGCGTGGACGCGCCAGCCAACAGTCAAATACGATTTTTTCCCTAAGTTTGAATCCGAGTAGGAAGGAATCCGAGGAGATATCGGACGCGTAGATTCTACAGCGGATCTATCTAGATACAAAAACCGCCCGAGCGTTCCCCATATTCGATGCTATCACACCTTGCTCTATCTGAAGAAGTTCACCTTATGTGAACTTTAGAGGGCATAGTCTGTATAGTTCAGACCGTCCTGTTCGGTGCGTGACAGGTGGTTGATATCTACAAAACTCGCTCCGGAAGCTGTTGAGAAGTCCTCATCGGGAGTCCGGGTGCCTATATAAACACAGCTATCGGAAATATTTAGGATTCTACCTTCGCGTTCGCACCCTCGGCTGCAAGGAGGAAACACGGGGAGCATTATTTAGAATGATGATGCACAGTTCGGATCGGATTGGGATAGCCCCCGATTCGCGGAAGGATCCGGAAGATTACGGGGAGTGTTATTTCCACGAGAGGCAACGGGATCCCCGTGGCGCGACGCGGGGGTAACCGACGATTTCATTCATGAGATCACGGATCCGAATCTTTTACAGGTGTTGCGGGAATGTTTTCGAAAACTTCCGTGGCTCCCCTTGATCGGATCAAGATACTCCTCCAGGCTCACAACTCGCACTATAAGAATCTCGGAGTTCTGAGCGGACTCCGAGGCATCGTTTCCAAGGAAGGCTTCATCGGTCTGTATAAAGGCAACGGTGCGATGATGGTGCGCATATTCCCCTACGCAGCGGTACAGTTCGTGTCTTTCGAGACGTACAAGACCGTTTTCAAAGAATCTGCTCTGGGTAAGACCGGGCTTCTCTGAGGTGCTCGAATATCTTATCATACCATACCGTGAAACGATGGCCTCATCAGATCTCGTCGATTCTATGGTGATTGATTCTCCATCCCTTTCAGGTCGTTACAATGCCCATGTGAGCAAATTTTTGGCCGGGTCCGCTGCCGGGGTCACAGCGGTTCTTGCGACCTATCCTTTGGACATGGTTCGCGCAAGACTCGCTTTTCAGGTGAACGGGCAGCACGTCTACTCTGGGATACTCGACACAGTGGTCTCGATATGCCGTAAAGTGAGTTTGGATGACACATCCCCGATTTTCTAGCTCTTTCCGCGCTCCCATCATGGAATCAGCGCATCTCTCTTCCCCGCATTCTCCGTTTCTCCCAAGCACACGTTCCCCTCTTCGGTGAATCGCCAGGGTGGCTGAGATGCCGGACTTCCCCCGCAAATGATGGAATCATTTTCGCTCGATATTTCGACACTATAGATTCTATGTGCCGCTCGAAGTCTCACAGCGATCCCGCAGAGATATATGTCAATACATCCTAGAGATGTTTTCCGACAAACAATTTTCGTCAAACAAATGTTGTCAAGGTTGGAACGAGCGCCTGGAGTGTTGACAAGAGAATTCCAACAAGTCGGGAAGTAACCTCGCGCAATAATTCCCTCCCGCGCATACGGCTATACCATGATCGGCGACACTGTCAGGCGATGGCACGAGGTCTGAGGGATTGCCTTCAAAGAGGAGAGGCATGAAGATTATTAACAGAACAGAAAACCGTGCGAGAAACTAAAAAAGCCCCCTGGAAGTTCCGATGAGCGCTCGAATCCCGCTTCTGTTTTCGTCTAGCCTTGGTCGAGAAGGCGTAATACGAAAGTGTCTCCTATCTGCAGGAAGGGGGCATCCTTGCGCTGTACCGCGGACTTTCACCTACGCTTATCGGGATGGTGCCGTACGCCGGTATCAATTTCTACGTATTCGAGCAGATGAAGGCCGTGCTGCTGCAACGCCTACCCATAATCTTTGCGCAAATAAACGAAAACAATTCAGGAGGAATGCAGCTAAACGTGCCCGGGAAACTGGTCTGTGGTGGCGTTGCCGGAGCCATCGCGCAGACTGTCAGTTATCCAATGGATGTAGCACGTCGGCGAATGCAGCTCAGCCTGATGTACACTGAAATGAATAAGTATAAGTGCGTAAATCCCTCAGTGACAAGATTATTTACCTTAGTCAAATGAAATTTTCTCGACAGTCCGCTGCTTCCTAACTACCGCAGAGGTCTTTCCGATGTTTCTCATTGTTGATTTCTCTTAATACCTACCTCTCCATTGTTCCTTCATCATTATTCAGATTTTCTCATGAAGCTCACGAGTTATTGTATTTTCAGCGTCGGCCTGGTCCAAGCTCTGATGCTCACATGGAAGGAACATGGAGTCGTGAAGGGACTCTACCGGGGTATGAGTGCGAACTACTTCCGTGCCGTCCCCATGGTCGCGGTCTCATTCTCCACGTATGAAGTTATGAGACAAACTTTCGGACTCGACACCGGCGTCAATTAATCCGAGGATAAATTCGTCTTTTGTAATCCGAACGGCTTCCTAGTGATTAGGTGTTGGAAGCGGAAATCCAGTATCTGAAATCATTCCATACTCCCGGAAATAGAGTCCATCCGCCCGCCAATACAAGCGTACCTGCAACAGATGTTCTCCGGGGATAAGGAAAATCACCTCCGTGCTTGCAGAGTCGCCGTACAGTGCCTTGTGGGTCGTCATATAGAAGTCGAGCTCGAGATAGATAGTTTGGAATGTACGTTGCGATACGAATCTGAACGAAAGAATGCGATCGAGAAACACAAGCTGAATAATGCTCGAGCCAGCTGCTCCGCGGAAACTGGCTGGTGCATGTAAATATCAGGCTTGACTTAACATTAGAGAACTCGTCGCCCCGATGCGCCGCGCAGTCAGCCGGTGAGGCGATACCAATATCTGTGCATCCGCGTCCGACTTGCAACTGGCCGACATTAGTACGACCGGGTCGAGTCTCCGTATAGTTGACTCCAGACTGTTTCGTTGTTCCTAATATATTGATCCCCCCAATCGAAACGTTTTCGATGTTGAGAACTCGATCCACCACGCCAGACCCTGTAACTAGTGTAAATATCCGTGTATCGGACCATCAATAACACCTATTAAGAAAATTTCATACACGAGGCATTCTTGTGCGTCATCGGTACTTAGGATTTGGAATCTCTTGCTGCTCAATTCTCCACGACGTTTTTCTGGGGAAAACTTCGTAGAACTCTCTGGCCTTCGAAGCTCCCTATACTCTCCGTCTCGGGATGCGGTTTTCATCCTATAGAAGCCTGACTCGTTTGGTGAGCTCGACGATTCTATAGGAGACTTAAAGATGAGAATTAGACGAGCTCCGATACATTCCGACGTCCGTTAATTATCACGCCCTAATCTCTGAATATCAGAATCTAATATTGTAACATATTTGTTGGTAGTAGAAATCAGATCGATCGGCTGACTGAAGCTGGACTCGATTTTCACATCAAATAAATTGGAAGAAAGAAACTCACTCAGACGTTGTGGACTCCTTCCGAGTAAGGCAAGGTGAACGCATATTTTGCATGAAAATGCAGATCCCGAGGGTTCTCCGACCGGAATTCACAGTTCGAGAGTATCGCCGTCGAAGAGCATATCCCAAGGGTTTTGCGATGTGGATCAGTGAAGATCGCAGCCTTTGGCATGAGTCAGGCCGAACGGTTGGATACCGTCAATTAGAGCAGTTCGCTTATCGAAATTGAAAAGGGTATCTTGGGGTTTACCGAATCGATCCACGCCAAACTACCGACCAGAATCGCGAACAATATATCCGCGATCATCTTCCACAGCGCCGAACGTCCCAGATTTCGACAAATAATGAACCGTTCGATGTCCTGCAATGGATGTGTTGAGTCTTCGTGAAATGAAATTGGTTGAGCTTTATTTCCGAGACAGGGAATTTCGACTTTTCTCGCTGGCTGGTCAGTGCTTGTGCCCTTCCCGCCTGTTTTCAACGCAGAACTGCATGCATATTTCTTGAAAAAACGCAGTCTAGCAACGAGTTGTGACGCAGTGATCAATGATCCGTCTCAGGCGAACGCTCCCCTTCGGTGAAGGGATATTCCATGGGACGGCCGATGAGTGGTCGCTCGAAATCAGGGTAGCCCTCATAGGGAATCTCCTTGATTGCCCTACGAGTTGTACCTTCTCCCTACACCTCTAAAGCGCTTTGGATCTACGGACTCCGCGATATTTTCGCGACTTCCCCTTTGACAGACATCCATCTATTAGTATAATCGATATGAGAAGGATCATATGATAAGGGGAAGGCGAGTCCGGCAAACGAAGGGTAGTTTCCCACGTATCCTGCTCGAGCTCGAGGGGCAGGAATGGAGCCTGGACAAATCCACGCCATCGGACGCTCATCTATTTGAGCAGGCATTGCGCGGTAGCGAAGTTCCGAGACGTTCTACGCACCGATTGAGGTTCCCGATCTACAGCTATGTATGCCGAAAGCTTCGCAAATAAAAACAATGAAAATTGCTTCTCTGATAGTGAGGAATAATCGACTTGGTGCGGAACGATTCTATCCGATGAAAAGATATGCGCTGAGCGCTATCAGTTTCCCTGCCGAAGCCACTAAATGCTCCGACGCGGAAACTTCACACTGAATATTTCGAAGAACAAAACTCATCCCCACAGACTTTCTCAGCTTGCGGTGAATCGCGAACGCTTCTAAAAGAGGTGTTGCAGACGTTGCCATCGGATCCGTTGAGATGCGAGTGGCCAAGTTTGTTCGAAGGGAATTCGAAATGACCTAGATCTGGAGCAGCCGCCGCACTGCAAACGAATCTGTTTCTAACGCGATCGAAAGTATTGTCTGAGCCGAGTTCTTGTTGTACATCGGCATCCGCATTTCATTGATCATGTAGTTGCCGTCCAGGCTTGGATTACCAGCTAGGCCAGATGTCTGAGCGCAGGAACGACCCTGAGCCATTGGCCGAAGCTGATCAAGGACACCGAGGTGACCTTCACTTTTTGAGCAAAAAGGACACCTGAAGACACAAACATGGCACTCGCCACGTCCACTGGAGATTCGTGTAGTTCGGAGATGGTGTCGCGCTCCGCTTTCTGTCGATGAGACCATGGTCGTCTAGCTTCGGTTCGGGCCCTCGGATACGGGTGTGACCTCCGACAATTCCACGACTACGTCCACATCATTGAATGGATCTCTGCTGGGAGCGCGGCGGGGGAAAAAATCCAGAATACCTAGCACTCTCATCTGGGAGAGGCACACGCTCCGAAGCCACGGCCAAATCTTGTCACTCCTCAGACGCGTGTTCGAGAACGCGCGATCGATCAACAAATGCTCAAAAATAGCTTTCAATAGGAGCGTGTGCCTTCTGCGAGTGGTCGCCGCCGCGACCTCGTGCAGAAGGCCCTCAATTGAATGACCTCATGCATCAGGTCGTCGTTCCGAGGACGAAAACACGATAATGAACTGTTACTTTCGGTTTGCTTGTGAGTAAGTAAAGTATGCTATAAGCTCTACTATGAACTATACGATCGTTGTCCCGTGCTCGCTGTCATCCACGATATCCGACAGGTACCACGGAATATCCCCGAGCGTACACCTAGGAAGGAAAATTCCTCGGACGGCTGGCGTAGTCATGCGGAACAATTTTTATTCGAAATGAAATCGGCGATTTCAAAGGCGCTCATCGATGTGTTGCTCCGAGCCCAGTCGGCTACTCTCTGCTTTGTGACATGAGGAAGGTTTCGATAACATCAGATCACTTCGATATTTGTGTTTCTTCCTCAAGAGCTTGCTTCCTGCATTGAATGACGTACACGACGACTACGACGGCGGAGGCGGCCGGGCAAAGGGATGTGGGGTGAAACGGGACACAGTAGCGGACCTTCGAGAGGCTCTCGTCTTCATGAACGCGCGTTGAGTCTTTCACAGGCATCTTCATTCCGGGGTTCTGGTGGTAGTGGTGGTGGCGGTCGTCGTCTACGACAATAGCTATTGTGAGTGACGGCTGCTCACGGAAGGCCGACTGTCCGACCGGTCGGCCGCCGTGTTTGCACTCCGGATAAGCGGACGCAACTTGTGCCGGCAATGAGCTCCTCGTTCGGTCCGTCCGTCGGTCTGATCGTCGGCCGGTGCGTCCGTTGCTCTTTGAGAAATGCCCGCCAGGAATTTCGATTGCCCTTAGGCCATGGACAGCAGAAGCAACCCTTGGTTCCCTAGCAAATAGTCAGTCCGCAGGTAGGTAGCCGCCGAAGTCTGGAGCGGAGTTCTTCAGTTGAGCAGTTCTAGGAACTTCGTCGACGACGAAGAAAGTCGAGAATGGTGCGCGATCGCTCCTGTTTGGACTCTCAACGAGCGGCGACAATGGCCGACCGGACAGCACGCCGGCTTGCTGCCTGCTCAGCTCGTCAGCTCGTCAGTCCGTCGATCCGTCAGTCCGTCAGTCCGTCAGTCCGTCAGTCGTCAGTCCGTCAGTCCGTCAGTCCGTCAGTCCGTCAGTCCGTCGCAAGAGTTCGAGCGCAAGAAAGCAACAGCGACCCGAAAGGGATCCGACCAAACAACGGAGGGATCACAATGCAACTCACAATAATTTGTCGGTAGTTCACACCTCTATCAAAGCGAGAAAGCCAGAAAAGGCTGTGCGCGCTCGTCGTTCGCTCCACGAAATGCTCGCACTTTGAAATTTCAAGAATGTCGTCCAGCTGCCGAGCTTGGTGGTCCAGCGCTGCATTTGAAGCGGCTGAACAACACTTCAACCAGAGGCAAAATAGTCCAATCTGAACAAGATTGACTTTCGGGTGATGCTTATCCGCGACGACTGCTTAGACTACTCTCTCCTAGAGTGATCTCTACTCCGTGCAATGAACGCGTCGCACCAACTCAGTCCCTTCTGGGGTCCCCCGATTCATTCTGGGAGGGAAAAGACTGCTGAAGATTGAGACCACTCAAGACGCTTCGATTAAGTCACGGACGATATAGGGGATTACGAAGAACCTGATGCGTTTCCTGGTTACTCATTTCCGAGGGATCAACTGTAAATGAGTCTCGCTACCCCAGAGGCCTATCATTCTTCTAGCAGAGTCTCCGGCAGAGTTTCTCAGGAAGTTCTTAATCCTTTGGCGCATATCTGGCAGAGATCCCGAGAGAGCCCCGAGAGTTGTTGAAAAACTCGGAGCTACTTAGACACGATAAGATATTGTACTTTCTCGAACAGGTTAGTGCAGTCGATGTGTGTGTGTGTGTCATCCGACCTCCCACGGGCTATTAGAGCCCCTAGAAGTTCGCGGAAGAGCCGTCGGAGGGATTTTGGTTCGAATCAGTGTCAGCGAGAGAATGAGCGGGCGAACAGGCGGGCAGTGAGTGCATTGAGACTTTCCCGATGGACCGGTCTTCTCGGTCGTCAGTTCTCTCCGCTATGTGAGTTTGCAAACATTATCCCACAATGGAGTCCAATACAGAATCCCTGCAGCGAAACTCGAGAAACACTGGGAGCTGGGAGGTCTTCGCGGAACTACAGAGGCGCAGTTAAGCCACTTTGCTACGCTTGTGTGCGAGGAGCTACTCGACACTCGTAGAGAGCCGTACTATCGTCGAGAATAACGTCGTGGACGTCGACCGCTGATTCTGTCAATGGAAACCATGTGACGGAAGACATAGAAAGATGACGCTTCTGGCAGTCCGGAGGACTGCAATGTGAGGACTGTACGCTTAGGAGTCTGCAAGCAGATCAGAAATGGCCATCGATGAGGCGATGTACCTTCCTCGGATCGCGCCACCTGCTGAGCAGGAACTCCTCAATCTTCGTCGAGTTCACGCTCTGAAACGAACACCTCGAAACACCCAGAAACAACGAGAAGACGACGGCATTCTCGGTAATGGCATCATAATTCCCCATTAGAGCACAATATCCAGCTTTGATGGAATGAGGAGGTGGTAGCGATAAGACATGTGAGAACGATATTGATCTGCAGGGCATCATATCGCTCCACGGAGCCAAACTCTACCGCGTCGAAGAAAATCGAGGGTCTCCTCTATAGGTTTCTCGAGATTTTTTCGTCGTCAAGAGCATTCCAGGGAGCGACTCGTGAATATGTTCATTCTGATCGTGTATTAAAGCCAAGCTGAAGCAGCCAAGAACTTCTTATATACATACCCCGATTCGGCCCATCGGCCTCAGATTAATCAGACGGAAGAGAGCTGAGGTGTGTCAGCGCGAAAATCCATCGGAGAATCGACCACGCAGCTCATTTAGAATCAACGAAATGCAAACTCGTAGGATTCGCCGGCGAGTAAAGATGTATATTTACCCCTGAAGTCCTATCGCATGTACAAATTTTGTTGTCCTTCATTTAGCCGGGAGCAGCTGGTGCAGGAGCATGTGGCCGGTCCGTCCCCTGTTCCTCGTTGAACCTGAACCAAAACCAGAGAGTACGCTCTGCAGACGGGGGTGGTTCGAACGCTGCTTCTGCCAGTGGGGTCCCCCGCAGCAAAAA